CTAGTTTTATTTGTCTCATCTTATGAATACAACTTAGTACCAACACATTCTTCCTAACTGCTCACAAAATTAATGGCTCTATCTTGTATATATGTTTGAAAATAGTATTTCTATAAAGTTTCAAAGTCTGAACATACTTCTATAAATTAATATATAAGAAATATCTTGAAAACTTAGTAAAATACAAGTATTTCAAGCATGTTTCATTAATAACTTAGTAAGTACTCAAGTAATCTCAATAAAACTTTATCCAAATACTGAATATGGTAGTATAATTATAATAAATACTTATTCATAGGGTAGAGTGTTGTAGAACTAGAAATACAAGTACTTAAAATGTATGTCTAAAGAAAGTAGAGTTGTAGTAAACTTGTACATGTAATATCTTAACAAATACAAGAGCTACAACCTTATAACTTTGTGAAATTATACTACTGTATAATACCTTCTAATACATCCTAGTATTACATAAAACAACTAACATATAGTAAAGATATATAGACTCTAATATTTGTACTATACTCTTAATAACAATTTACCTTCTTATTTTAAACCTCTTATATCTTATAATAATTTAATACTAATCTACACCTATTTAAAAAAGCCCCTCTTATATTAATAACTTCTGTAGTTACATAAATATAAGACTACAAAATTATGTATATAAAGTATAGTGTAACTTTCTTTGTATATATTATACAGACTTAATTCTTAAATATACTATAAATATATAAGCTCTACTATTATTATAGTATTAAGAGTTTAGAGTATTATAAATCTTAGTCAGAGGAAACTGTTGTATTTTTTATTATCAAATAGTACACAAATACACAAGTAATTAATACATTTAATATTGTATTTGTGTTATGAATGAGTTCTAACTAAATTTACATTAATTTTAAAAGAATAATAAAGAAATTTAGTTAAGAATTGAGTAAGATATAGAGGAAAGTATGTACTTACTATATAAGACAGTAAGCTTAAAGTGTAACAGGTAGGGAGGGTATAGTTACTATATAGAGTACTTAGTATACTTATTTTATTTTATTTTATTTTAACTTAGAATTTTTTTTACTATTTAAGTTTAGTATTAAGTATAGTTAGAAAGAAAAACTTAAAAGGTACCTAATTAGAAGGACTATAAGGGTTTTGTACACTCTCTAATTAAACCCTTTATAGTATGTTCTTTAAGTACTAAAATAATACAATATAATAAATAAGTGTTTAATAAGGAAATTTAAAATAAGAAATTTAAACTATATTTACTTTTATTATAAGTAACTTTTTTAATAGTATTTTTTTATCTATTATAGTTGTTAAGTAAGATATACTGTTATTAACCCTATTATAGTTAGTAAACTTAGTAATAGTTAGGTCAGGTTAGGTTAGGTTAGAAGGATTTTTAGCCTAACCTATAACCTGACCTAAACTAAAATTTTCTAAAAATCCTAACTTATAACCTGACCTAGTCTAACTTAGTAGGTTAAGTCAAAATAAGTTAGGTCAGGTCAGGTTATAAGTTAAACCTGAGTCAAAAAGAGTATATATTAAAAAATTCTAATATAATACTTTTATAATCTAAACTTATATTAATTTTTGTTTAATTACTCTTTTATAGTAAGTGTTTTGTTTAATAATAATAAGTTTAATAAGTACTTATTTTTAACTATTATTCTTCTTTATTAAGTACTTATATAGTACTTTTTTTTATTATAATGTTTTACAGCTTTTATTATTATAAATTATATTACTTATTATTATTATTAGTATTATATTAGAAAATACTATATACTTTATAATAAAATAAAGTTTATTAGTTAGAAAACTAAATTAAAGAATATTTACTCTTAAGTAGAGAAAATACAAAGAGAGTATGTTTAAATAAGTAAAAAGAAGAGAATATAGTTAATATTAATAAATATATAATTAGTACAAAGATTATAATAAAAAAGTATATTTTATAATTATATTTATTCTATAATTCTACTAATATTTTATCTCTAAAGGTAGTTTGTTTTTATACCTTTTTGAATGTTTACTTTATAATATTAATAAAGAGTTATATAATTATATTATTTAAATTATTAAGTTATAAGTTAGGTTAGGGTCAGGTTAGGTTAAAATAAGTTAGAAAATTCTGAAAAATGTTTAACCTATAACATAACCTAATTTTGACCTGACCTAACCTAGTATACTAAGTTAAATTAAAATAAATTAGATTAGAGTCAGGTTAGAGTTAAAATAAGTTATAATCTAATCTTAACTATTATTAAATAAATTATAACTAAGTATTTTACTATTACTCTCTTAATTCTTGTACAAATTTTATAAAATTTTGTATATGTATTACTAGACATTTAATTAATATTTTTCTAAAAATTTTTAAAAAAAGTTTAATAAAAAAAAAGTTTAGTAAAAAAAAAGTTATTAAACTTATAACTTAAGAACTAATAAAAGTTAATCTTTTAGAGTAAACTGGATTCTTTCTTACAACTTATATACTCTATATTATATAATAATTATAATAATACATATTTGAAACTATAATTTAACTATATTATATAATTATATAGTATTATATATGTATTTTTTTTTTAAAGAATTAGTAATATATTATAGTGTTTTTTATAAATATTGTTATATATGAAAATTATATAATTTTTGTTATATTAAGTATTAAAACACAAAAAACACTAGATCTTAATTAAAACTTAATAAAAATAGATAATTTAACTTGTTAAATTTATAATTTTAAAACTACTTTTATATTTAAACAAGAATAGTAAGAAATAAGTCTAAATTAAGTAAGATATAGTATAAAATATGGATTTTTTATGTTTTTCTCATGTTTAATTTTTCCTTACCTTAAAACTAAACATATAAGTTTAGGAAACTGTTTATTATAGTTAAATATACTAATACTTAATTTATATACTAAATTTATTATAAATTAAGTACTTATTCTGCTTTAGTAAGAGAAGGCTAAAATGTGTAAAATTAACTATTCTTCTCTAACTCCTTCTACACTTAATAATTTTTTTTCAAGTCTATAATGTATTCTTAAAATAAATAGAAGTATAATAAAGTATTTTATAATAAGTTTCATGTTTATATGTTGAGAATTAAGTTTAGAACAAAGAAAAGATTTTTGTTATAAGTACTTTCCTTCCCCTCTCTGTTCTAAACTCAATTCTTAACATATAAACATGAAACTTATTATAAAATACTTTATTATACTTTTATTTATTTTAATAATACATTATAGACTTGAAAAAAAATTATTAAGTGTAAGAGGAGTTAGAGAAGAATAGTTAATTTTACACATTTTAGCCTCCTCTTACTAAAGTAGAATAAACACTTAATTTATAATAAATTTAGTATGTAAATTAAGTATTAGTATATTCAACTATAATAAACAGTTTCCTAAGCTTATATGTCTGGTTTTAAGGTAAGGAAAAATTAAACATGAGAAAAACATAAAAAATCCACATTTTGTACTATATCTTACTCAATTTAGACTCATTTCTTACTATTCTTGTTTGAATATAGAAGTAGTTTTAAAATCATGAATTTAGCAAGTTAAATTATCCATTTTCATTGAGTTTTAATTGAGATCTAGTGTTTTTTGTGTTTTAATACTTAATATGACAAAAATTATATAATTTTCACACATAACAATATTTATGAAAAACACTATAAGCAAGTTATAATGAATATTGCTATTAGTTCAGTTTTGACAAATTAGAATATACAAATTCACTAATCTCTATTTTCATAATTTTTATATACAGCTCTATAAATATAACCTATACAGTAGACATATTAAAATATAACAAACAAGTATATTCACACTATATACTAAACAATATTCTGAAGCAGGCCTCTAATTAGACAATAAGAATATGGTTTAGAATATGAGACAAATTTGTTTGTGTATTTTATTCTAATATGTCTACTATACTATAAGAGAAATATAATAGTTGTAATTAAATACATTAGAAGTAATACATGCTAAAAATTATAACATAAAACCAGATATTATAATAATACTATTTCTACTGTTCAGTCAATTTTTACTACTAAATATATAGCTTATTAGAGTTAATTAGATAAAGTATTACAATACTAAGTACATTCTACAACTCTAAATGTTGTAATACTATATAATCTTTAAAACTTTAAGTAGTTAGTGTTCTTTAAGTAGAATATTGAGAAATACAGAGACAGCTGTACTAATGTCTACATTACTAACTCTGCTTGTAAGGAACACTTGTAGAGAGCTAGTACTAGTCTTAAGAAGTGTTCTCTCTTGTAAGGGGAAGTCTGAAGCAGTCAACACTGCTTGCCTACTCTCTACTTGTAGGATACTGTTTATTAATCAAACTATGTTTTCTATGACTCAACAGCTCAAACAATAACCAGTATATTAGTCCTTTCATTATTAGTGCATATATGTATTAGTAGTAGGAAGACAGCTACATTTGTGCTTGCATAAATAAAGGAATTGAAATATTTGTTATAGTATATATGTTCCTTTTAATAACTATACTATCCTTACTTCTGAACTCTTCATCTGTGTTCAATCTCTCTGTTGATCTTATTTGCCTTAGCCAATCATAGAAAGAGTATCAATCCTCAAGCCTGACTACTACTATTTGTAAGTATTAAACTATGCATTTGCAGGTAAATAACTAGTTGTGCACTCAATACAATGTAATCAGAGAAATATGTTTAATAGTACTATCACAAGCATCATTTGTTCTGTTGTAACTTCCTGTGTAAGTTCTGCTTTACAACCTTTGACATTTCTTAAAACTTAGTGAAACCTCTCTTTCCAAAAAGAGTTGAAATACCACTGTCCCGACACTTCTCATTATGCCTTTTTCGAATTGTAGCATTCAACACCACAGCTGTTTCCACCACTACCAGTGCTCTTCTCCATGCCTTCATTGTGTCAAAGTCCCAGTATGTAAGGTTATGCTGCTCTGCTTGCTCTGCGTGCCACTATGTTAAAATGTTTTAGACCACGTATCCATATGTTAGTCAATCAGACTCTGTTCTGACCTTGTTGGCTATTTCCACCAGGTCATTTGCAGTTTTTCTTGTTTCAGGGTTCACACACAAACTTGAACACAAAAATGCTATTCCTACATGAGGCATTCATCATCAGATAGTAATATTATGAGCATCATTAATGTAAAATTGTCTTACCCTTTTCAGACGTGCTTTTCTCCTTCATACAAGAAATTGTCTCGATGTGGTTGTCAGTTATCACTAGTCCTGCATTTATCTCACAAAATCTAGTCTTTCGATCTTTGTCTTCAACTGCAATGTGGTTATAGATCCTACTTCCATAAAGGAGCAAGAATGCTGTTGCTCTAAACAATATCGAAGTATGTATTGTATCCGTAGTGAACCTCAGGAATCTGAGCTTACCCTAAGGACCAGATGTCAACTGATTTCGAATATGATGCTTTTTCGTACCCGTCTTCTTTGAAAACCTGCTTTACATAAAGTCGTGCCAGTTCTGGTGCTATATACCCCAAAGATCCGCAGAAACGCTTCATTCTTATGTCTCCTTCAAGCTGGGTTGCACTGGACATGACTCGAGTTATTAAAACAGCTAAGCAGTAAATATTGATTTACGTACATTTCAAAGTCTCCAAGTAGAATTCGGTCATTAGTGCAGGGAGAATCATCTGTGTATGCCTGCTTTATAAAGAAATTCTGCGGTCTGACAATTACAGTAATGCTGATGTATCAATGTATCTCTAATCTTGCAGTCCAATGAACTCACTTCAGATCTCTGTGCACGATACCTAAGGAATGAATGTAAGCAACTGCATCGACCATCTGTCTTTAGTTCAGTATTTAGTACAGCATCGTTGAAATATTAATGAGTAATATAAATTATAATCACACCTCACGTAGTGAACAACGCAATGCTCGTTGAAGTATTTGACCTTCTTCAGGCGATGGAGGAGTTCTCCGCCTCTTGCATATTCAAAGACAAGCACCCATTCTGTAGTGTTCTCGAATGCTCCGTAGCACATCAACTTTCAATTATTAGTAGTTTTCATACGTACCGTTTGTATTTATAGTAAGTAACAAATATAACACACCACATTCTTATGACGCATTCTCGCCAGCAAACTGGCTTCATTCTTCACATCCTGCTCAATGTATTTCAGCTCCTCATGACTCCACAACTTGCCACTAGTGCAGTATATCTTGTTAACAACTTTGGCAACGAATTCTCTCGGGTTTCCTTCCCCAAGGTCATTTCGTTTTATAACCTGTAGTATAGTATAGTCAAAGTCAGTCAAAGTCGACTCGGAGATGCCATTGGCCCATTGCTTCAAACGCAGAGAAGAAATGGGAAACGAGGATTTATAGCTCACCCAAACAATAGCAGAGCTCCCACTACCAAGCATCTCTATCCGCTCAAATTTCCATGTTTTTTCTCGGCCCCATCGTCCTTTTGCACGAAACCAGTTCGAATGAAACATTTGACATTCTTTTGCTTTTGAATCTCGGAACAAAGGTCTCAAGTCTTGTAATGGCAGATAATTTCCCTTCGAAAATTTGGATCCATGTGACATGTGTGTACAACTGTTCCAGTACTAAGTAGTTAGTGTAGAAGCAGAAACAGGGTTATCAGATGTAAATTCTTTGTGTACAGTTGTTTAGCTGGCTTATAAGGTGAATATAATTGCAAAACTGTTATACCCAAAAGGATAGAAGCCTCAACTATGCACTATGCAAGAAGCTAACACTTTACTATATAAATCAAAAATGGCCTACTTAGTTCTGCTGGTTCTGCCATCTGTGGTAGCTTGGCTTCTGGTACAGACCATTAATATTGTCATGAAGAAACCTATTAAATTTATTTACTAGTAAGTATGTTCCATCTTTAGACAAAATCACCTCTATATTATGTTTGGTAAGCTGAATATCAGGAATATAACAAAATTACTTGTCCAAACATTGATCTAGCAGTTACTGCATAGAGTAAGTCACGCATAATATTTCTGAACTTAAATGGCCCTAATAAATGCACGATAAGCTTCGGAGCTCGCACGGGACTAGACGATGCAAAGCAAGAAAGAAATCAGCTTTCCAATCGCGAACGACATGCTCAACGATACATCCGAGGAAACCGGGAGTAGACCAACAGCAAATGAGTGCAGGTTTGCGTTCTGATTTTGCGAGTGCAATGGTCTTGCGGGCAGAGGAGCCTCGTATTGGTTATTCAGGACACAGGAACGAGGGAAGAAGATAAGCAATACGGCCCAGCCCTCGTCTAAGCTGCGATTGTGGCACCCTTTCCGTCTCTTTTGGATATAGGCGGACTGGTGTTGCACTACCCGGCTGGTTACTTATTTGAACAAATAGGAAGCGGACGAGCTGTCGGACTCAGCCGTGGAGTGAAACTGTTATTGAGGGTGTTGTCTGCAGGAATTTGGACCTAAGAATGACGGACTCCATGTGTTCATCGGTTGATGGCTGCCTAAAGCAGCGGACAGCGTGCAGGGCAGCAACGAAACGCGTACTGGATTCACTCGTCATCAAAAAAGTAGTCCAAAAATTAAGATTAAAAAATCCATTCTGCGAAACTATCTACACTAACTAAAATGTTACAGTATAATAAACGAGTTTTCAGTAGCCAGCAGCACCAGGCGCAGCATCTCCCTCCCTCTTCAGTCTCAACAGCACCTCTTTGAACCGTGTCAAGTCCGTCGTACCGGGTCCGGTTCGCGCAAGTGTCTTGCTCTGTGAGTTTTGCAGGTCGATATATTCGCAAATCCGCGACCAGGTTGTGCCCGCAGTAAGCGAATCCGCGAACGATGCAAGGTACTCTTGTTCTTGCACCCTGCAAGACATGAGTTAGAATATAATCAACGACAAATTCTACAATAAATACTTACTTATTTTCTTTGATGTTGCGCTCCTTTTTCGCGTTATACTCCTCGTAAAACTGGTCGATGGATCGCTCAGCTTTCGCAATTGTCTCCTGACGTCGTGCTTGAGATGCTTCGTCGCGTTTTTTGATCTCTTCGGCTTGCTTTTCTCGCCATGCTCTAAACAGTCGTTTGAGTATCCCGGTTTATCCAGTAACGCGAAGAAGATGGTACCTAATTACCTCGGGCTCGTCTTCATCTTGTAGATTCTGCTGAAGGATTGGCGTTGACGCAAGTGCTGATGGCTGAGGACGCGGAGCAAACGGAGGCGGTGCACCAAACGTAGGTTGCTGAGGAATAGGCGAAGCCGCTGGCTGTTTGCAATGGCAGCTGAGCTCATAGTATCTATTTACTATGCGTCTTCTGACTTACCGGAGTACCTCCACCAATATCAGGAAACTGGTCTTCAAAGCGTTCAATCTCGTCATCGCCCGTCACCTTAACTTCCCTTACAGGAGCGGGCGTCTCAAAATCACCAAAGTCCAGTCCATTAGACGTCGGTTGTATGCTTCCGTGGGTAGGTGCGGTGATGGGGATGTCACCCGACCCGTCGAGCGAGATATCGGGGAACGCAGAAGCAGCTGCATCCAAGTCTATGTCGCCAACGCCGCCTGTGGAAGAGACACCAGCAGGCGGTGAAAAGCTACCCCCAAGGAGCTCATTCTCACGCGAAAGAAAGTCGGACATGGCACTGGCGCTGAGGCTGAGGCTGACCGAGGACGAGTTGTCAGGCGAGGGCGGGCCAGCAGCCTGTTGTTGAGAGTGTTGAGTGAGGTCGAGAGACGACGAGCGCGGTGTGACACGCAGTCGTGCGTGAGCGTGGGAAAACAGTCGCGGTATGGATCTCCAGCGGTCGACGCTGCTTGACCGCTCTCGAGTTGGCTCCTGTTTATCAATCGACTTGCGTCGACCAGGACTCAGCAGATCGATCGAGAACTTGCGTATTGGGCCCTTCATTTTCAGTGTGTCTCCTTGTATATCGTGCGTAGGGGAGACGACTGCCCTGCATTTATACCAGGGATCAATCTACTCGTCGTGGTCTACACGTTCCCTTTTCATTAAACGCCCCATCTTCTCTTCACCTGTAATCGCTCTCATCATTTCCAATTTCTCAGCTGATCATATCCCCCCCCAGCAGAGTATATTACTAATGCTATAGGTCTCGAACCTTATAACTTTTGGGTCATCTTTCAAATACTCAAATACGTATGCAAACACAACCCAGTCCCAAAAACTAACATGCATATGTCTACTATTGTTATCACTTGCCCAGAGAGACCCACTCACTGCACTCACTTCCTTCTGAAAAACTTTAGAATATTGCTGTGCCTGTGCCTCTTTTTCGGCATCGTACACATATTCACCATTCGAATTCCCTTCTTCCATTTCTCCAATGCGTTAAAGTCCTAGTATTTATCAAGACCATGCTGACTTGCTTGTTCCGTGTACCACTACAAACGCTTTTAGTTATGCAGGTATGTATAATATAACGGAGCTTTCTTCTGGCCTTGTCTGCTATTTCGATAAGTTCTTGTGCAGATTTTCTGTCGCCCGGTTTTACGCGTAAACATGCGAGCACAAACTCTATTCCTACATGTTGTTCATTGCGGGTTATCACCAGGTCCGCAATTAATGTGATATCATTTTTACCTCTATCTGATGTGCTTTCCTCCTTTATACAAGGAACTTGCTCAATTTGATCATTAGTTATCATTAGTGCAGCATTGATTTCGTGCACTTTCGTCTCCTGATGCTCCTTTTTGACTACAATGCTGCCATATATCCTTCTTCCATAAAGGAGTATAAATGCTGTTGCTCTGTAAATTGTTAACGTATGTTGTGCATATAGGTGGTCTGAAAGTATTGAACCTACCCTAGGGACCAGATGTCAACACCTTTTGTGTAAAACATATTCTTGTACCCATCTGCTTGAATATACTGTATATAATAAAGACTAACCATTTCTGGGGCCATATAATCAGCAGATCCAACAACAAGGTTCATCCTCAGATCTTCTTGAAGTTGAGTTGCACTGAAAGAAACTTAAGTCATTAATGTAGTGTTTTAGTGAATGATATTACATGCACAATCCAAAGTCTCCAAGTAGTAGTCTGTTGTTGGTACAAGGAGAATCATCAGTGTATGCTTCCTTTAAAAAGAAATTCTCTGGTCTAATAGTGTGTTAATATGTCAGTGTACTGTCAGTGACAGTGTAGAGGGGACCTGAAGGCTTGGCAAGGGGACCCAGGCTACAACTATCCTACATAACAGAAATACAGAATGTAAGCACCAGAATGTAGTCAGAACTTGTGGAACAGGCAGAGAGAGAGAGTGAGACAAGAGTAGAGTATATAGAGTGAGCCTAAGAGTACAGGACTACCTAGAGTAGACAAGATCAAGACTACAGGACCAGTCTGATCTCATACACCTATATATACTAAACTACACAAGAGTACTCAGGGAGTATGAGCCACTAAGAATGATAAGCCACAAAGAATGAAAGAAAGGAATGTTAAAGATAAAGGTACAAAGAATGAAGGGATGGGTAAAGGGTAAGAGACTATAGAATGATACAAAGAATGAAAGGGTGGTCAAAGGAATGGAATGATGAAGCAAGGAAGGGTAGTAGTAAGAGTCAGTATGTATATAGTCTATAGACAGTACTCCTGAGGGACAGAAGTCCTGAGTTCTAGTACAGAAGGGTGTAGAACCCTTAGAACTGAAGGTATGGGAGTAGAGAACTGTAACATTACCCCCCCTCTAAAACCAATCATCCTGATTAGTGAGCATTAGGCTTGGTTAGCAGCTCAGGCATAGGTTAGAACAGTAGGGTTTGGAAATCTGTGAGGCAGAGTTGATATAGAGCACCTGGATGAAGTTGATAGAAGTTTTGAATTGCCTTAGTAGTATGGGTGAGATTCTTAGCAGGTTCCCAAGTGTGTCCTTCAACTAGGTATCCCTTCTAGTGGATAAGGAACTTGAGCTTTCTGTACACTAGCTTAGCATCTACTATGTACTCTACTTTGTATTCTAGTTCAGAACTAATGAGTTCTAGTAGAAGTAGTAGGGGTCTTTGTTGTGAAGGAAAACCTGGATCATAGTATTGAGACAGTAGAACCTTGTTAAACACTAGGTGTATGTGCTTCCATGTTGCTAGAAGTTGGAGTTTGTAGACAGAGGTGCTAACCTTCTTTTTAATAACAAAGGGTCTGAAGCACTTGTTGTCCAACTTCTTCATTAGGTGATCTGTAGTCAGGTTAGTAGCTTCCAGTATAACTTTGTCACCAGGCTGGTAATCCTTAGCTGTAGACCTCTTCCAATTATAGTTCTACTTTATAACCTGTGCTACCTTTTCCAAAAGAGCTCATGTGTCCTCCCTGGTTCTGTACATCCATTCTACAAAGTCTGTTACAGATTCAGAACTGCCATTCCAGTTCAGAACTGTCCTCTAGTACAGATGTCTCTCATGATTGAGGAAGAACAGAGACTGTCCTGTTGTAGAGTGTTGTTAGTTATTGTACACAAATTCTGCCAGAGCTAGCTATTTAGACCAATCTGATTGTTAATGATTGATGAACATCTGGAGGTAGAGCTCAATCTCCTGATTGACTCACTCAATTTAACTGTCAGTCTGTAGGTGATAGACAGTAGAAGGGTTCCCTTGAATTCTAAGAAGTACATACAAGTCCTATATGAATTTCAACTCAAATTGTAGTCTGTAATCATGAATAAGCTTCTGAGAGAGTCTATACAACTGGAAGACATGATCCTGATAAATACACACTATGCCTTCAGAAGTAAGTTCTGTTTGGGTCAGAACTGTGTAGACTTGCTTAGAGAATTAGTCAACAATCACACAGATAGTGTTGTAACCCTAAGACTCAGGTAGCTTACTAATCAGGTCTACTAAGACTTCTTCCCAAGAGTGATCTAGGATCTAATACAGATGTAGGGGAGCCTGAACCCTTGTCTGGTAGGCCTTAGTCTGTTAGCACATATTATAACTAGTTACATACTTTAGGATTTCCCTCTGTATTCTGGGCCACTAGTAGTTCTGAGTAATGAGTTCCTGTGTTTTGTGTCAGCCTAAATGTCCTATAGTCAGATTGTTGTGATGAGCTCAGACAATGTCCTCCTACAGCTTCTGATCCTTCAGAATGTACAGTCAGCCTTCCTAGTAAACCTGTCCATCCTCATCCTCCTCCTAATCCCTTACCTGCTTCTCTAGTTACTTTACTATAACCTAGTCCTGTATGTGTCTCAGAGCTTACTGTATACAGGTGACAAAGTTAACATCCTTAGATTTGAGTCAGATCTCTTGGATTGTCTCAGACACAAAATGGGAATTGTCTAGGAGAACAAGATTTTTGTTATCATTCTCCCCCCTTTTATAACCTACTTGTCTTAAGAGTAAATCAGCTTTCATCATTTGTATTCTAAGCTTGTGGGTCAGTACAAAGTCATAGTCCTACAGTTCTAACATTTAGTAGGCTTGGCAGCAGTTGAGCTTCTGAGACACTCAGAAGTACTAGAGATTAAGGTGATTACTCCAAATCTCAAACTTCTGTACAGTACTGAGGAGATATTAACACTACTCCTCTAAGGAACAGACAATTGTAAGGAGTTCCTTGTTATAGATAGAGTAGTTCTGTTCTATTACAGAGAGGGATTCTGATTGGAATACTATCAGACACTACTTTCTGTTAATGAACTAGGACAGTACTGCTCCATTTGCAAAGTTGGAAGAGTTGGCTTTAACTTGGAACTTGTCTACAACTGTCAGAACTGCTAATACAGGCTTGCTAGTGATAGCCTACTTGAGGGATTTGAATACAGACTACTACTGATTATCCTATTGTTAAGGAACATCCTTGCTAGTAAGATTGTGAAGGGGCCAGGCAATGGTACTGAAGCCTTGAATAAAGCATTAGTAGTAGTTTACAAACCCAAGGAATGCTTGGACCTGTTTCAGGTTCTAAGGTTGTAGCCAGTTCTGAACTACAGTTACTTTTGCTGGATCCATACAGACCTCTCCTCCACCAATCATGAAGCCTAGATAATCCACTGACTCCTGTGTAAAAGAGTACTTTACTTCTTAGAGGAACAGTTTATTATCTTAGAACTGTTATAGAACTGCTCAGATCAGTCAGTAATAGTGCTTGACTGTCTAGGTAAAGATTAGAATGTTGTCCAGATACACACTAACATACTCTGAGTCAATCAGATCTGTAAGGATGTGATTCATAAATGACTGGAATGTTGCAGGCAAGTTGGTTAGTCTAAAGAACATTACAGTCAGTTCATACAATCTACAATTGGTTCAGAATGTAGCCTTCTACTCATCTCTGTCTTAGATCCAAATATTATTATACCCCTATCAAATGTCCAACTTAGTGAAAACCCTAGATGTATGTGTCTTATTAATGAGCTCCTGAATCAGAGGGAGCAGGTACTTGTTTTTGACAGTACCCTCATTGAGACAATAATAATCCTAGACTAGGTAGAGCTTCCTATCTTTCTTTTTGACAAAGAAGAAAGAGGAGGTTATAGAGGACTTTGAGGGTTGGATCTAGCTGTTCTGAAGATTTTCCTAAAGGAACTTGTCAAGTGCCTCCTGCTTGTCTCTGTTGAGTAGGTAGACCTTACAATCCTTAGGTTGGAAACCCTTAGTCAATTCAATTGTATAG